AGGAAAACTCCCCCCTTGTGCAGATCCTGCTCCAGCAGAAGCACAGCTGGCACTGCAGGAGGGCTGAGCCCCCCTGGGATGGGGCTGAGCCACCTCCCTGACCCACAGGGGCTCAGGGCATTGCTGACCCTGGCACTGGGTTGTTTTGTACTATTGCATTTGTATTTTTAATTGTCCTAGCAAAGATCTGTTATTCCTATTCCCATATCTTTACCTGAGAGCCCCTTAATTTCAAAATTATAATAATTCACAGGGAGAGGGTTTGCATGTTCCATTTCAGGGGAGGCTCCTTAGCAGACGCCCGTCTGTTCAAACCAAGACAGAGTTAAAGCAATAAATTAGGGATTTATCAAAGATCTTCACAGGACAGACCTTGGGCAGAGCAAGAGCCTGGCTGTGGATGGACTCGAGATGGACTCTGAGTCACGAGTTTTCACATTTTTATAAGTTTTGGTCCATTTCCATATTGGGGTTCATTGTCCAATTCCAGCTCCAGGTGATGCAGTCCCATCCTCCAGAATTTCTCTCCTCAACTCAGTGTTGTTTGCACTTTTTGGGCCTGAAGCTGCCCAAAACCCAACCTATCCTTGGTTATCAAGCTGGAAAATGATTATTTTATCTAACCAAACTGTGAGGAGAACTTCCTGACGCTTTATATGAAGCTCAGGGTCACGCACTGATGCAGAATCTGGAAAAATATGAAATACAAAACTCAAGGCATCGCTCCCAAACCCCGCTCCCAGCCAGGGCTCCCCTTCCCTCGCAGGATTTTTTTGTCCTTTCTGAGCCCCTCGCTGTGGGGGCTGCTCAGTGGAAAAGGAAAGAAATCCCATTCGGGGGATAATTAAAGCCAGATAATTAAAGGATGTAATTTGGGCGTGGCTTTATTGCACTTATCATAACATCTCCCTGAAGCACAGGGATAAAAGCCAGCAACATCCAAAAGGATTTTTTAGATCTCCTTCTTCATTTTTTTTTTTCTTAGCAATAACCACCTCACTCAAAGCTGGTGTCACTTTACCAACAATAAAAATTCGCTGCAGCAACCCCAATTTTAAATTGTTTTTTTACATGAATAAGTTCTTACCCCGTGTTGATCTTGCAGGGATTTGTATTTGGAGACATCTCCTCCTCCTTTTCCCCTTTATTTTCTGGCTTTTCATTCTCATTTCACCCCGTTCTTCAACGTTAAAAAACAAAAAAATAGATCGAAAAACTCAAATATCCTTAACACCTTTACTTCAAATTTGTATTAGGAGCAGATTGCTGTCTATAAAATACACGTGATATAAAATCAGGACAACACACAAACATATCTCCAAAGCTGTAATTTTGTTTTCCCCTGCTGTGACAGTCTCATCTCTTATTATTTCCTGAAAATCTGGTAAAATTATAGAGATTTTTTTATCTTTCCCCCCCATCGGTTTTGAAATTTTACCTTTCTCTTAAGGAAAAACAGTGCTTCACCACCAGCTTTGGTGTGTCGTGAAAGGAAGCATAATAACAGAAATCTAATTTATATTTATATTTATTTCTCTGTGTCTACACATTATATATATATAAAAGTTTATTAGCAATAAAATAGCTATTAAAATAGTAATAAAATTAGAGTAATAAGAATTTTGGACAGTGAGGATTAGGATGCTATGAGACCAAAAATAATCAAAGAATTTCGGACATCCAGATGGTTTTGGGTACTGAGCTGCCAAAACCATGCCTTGTGAAGAAAGGAATAACCCTTAAAAGCAATGTATATATTATATTAATTATGTTATGTTATGTTATGTTATGTTATGTTATATTATATTATATTATATTATATTATATTATATTATATTATATTATATTATATTATATTATATTATATTATATTATATTATATTATATTATANTATATTATATTATATTATATTATATTATATTATATTATATTATATTATATTATATTATATTATATTATATTATATTATATTATATTATATTATATATAAATTCATATAGCTTATACATGATGCATAAATTCCTTGCAAGGGGGCTGTAACTCTTTATGTGCCCTGTCGCTTTTATCTCTGTGTGAAAAGTTTCTTGATTATCTCATCCCTTTCTTGAGCTAGTTAAAAACATCTTACATCACAGTGTTTCTATTTTAACATTATGTTGTAACCTAAAACTATATTTAACATGCTACTTAAGAGAATTAATGCAGCGTAACTTTCTAGCATTGCACATATCATATTCATTTTAATATTTGCATAAATCCAATCCTTAAATACGCATTTTTCACAGGTGGGGTTTGGTGTCAATGTTAATATGCAAATCGAGCTTAATAACCTGGGTTACATTGTGATTGACCAAGAACTCTCTGGTCACCCTCTGCACACTGAGTAAAGGCTTTTTCTATGCCAGAGAGGCTTTGTTTGACATTGACATATTTATAATTATTTTTATATATTATTTCTTTTCGAGGCGGGAGCGAGGCCGCAGGCTGCCTCAGGGAGGCGAACTACAACTCCCAAGATGCTCCGCGGCGAGGCGGATGGAGCGGGTGCGCGCTGCCAGTGAGAACTACAATTCCCATACTGCCCCGCTGCACGCTCTGCGCTCCTATTGGCTGGCGGGACGGTTGGCGCTTCCCGTCTCCATGGCAACGCGTAAACAAATGGCGGCGGCCCGGCCGGAGCGGGGACGGCGCCCGTAGCGGACAACACACAAAGTTTGCTCCGTCTCTTTCATTATCGCAGCTCATGGCGGGCGGCCAGCAGAGCGGCACAGGAGGCAGCCCCGGGGAGCCGCTTCCCCGTGCTGACGAGCCGCAGCCCCTCGCTGAGGGGTTCCCCGAGGAGCAGCCCCGGCCGCCGCACCGCGAGGATGAGCAGGAGGAGGACGGCGGGGAGGAAGAGCCGGAGCGCGCAGAGGTTCAGCCCGGGGCTCCGCGGGGCTTTGGGGAGGGGTGTGCGCTTGGGAGGGAACTGCGCTTTCCGCCCTCAGTGTGGGTGTGGGGGAAGGACGGGCGGCGCCGCTCATTTCTGCCCTTTGTAGGTTCCTGCCATCCCTGTGGTGTCCAGGCTCCTCCTGGATTCTTCCTCCCTCTCTCTCCCTCAGCAGAAAAAAACTTGGCAGATTGTCAATCCTAACCACTAACCCAGCACTGCCAAGTGCTCCTGCCATATAAAATGAAGGATAAACTGGCACGTGTATGGCCAAATCAACCCCATTTCCTTTTTAAAGTTCCTTTTTGAGCTTCAGTAAGCCCCAACACACGTGTGAATTTTCTCTCCCTGCCCCGCTGAGCTTTAAATCCCAACACCACAAAATATCACCTCATGTTCTGCCTTGTGGGAATTATTCTGTGCTCTCCCTTGCTATAACGTGTAGGTGCTATGATGAAATTATTCTGTTATTTATCTTGGTCCCTGTTGGATTAAGCCCTTTTCTGACCCAGAATTGGGGCAGCTGAGAGGTGTTTTAAAAACTTTTATTCCATTTTCAGTTTCATGAGAAGGGTGAGACAACACAGATGTTATAATTCACGCCATCACAATCAGAAGCCAATTATTTCTTAATTATAATACATTATAAGTGTTTTTTGGTCTGTCACACCATGCTGTCAATGCCCTAAAGCCAAATCATCTAAAATTCCTCCTGCTGCAGTGCATCTTTCCCAGTTCTGTTTCTCCAAAGGACCCAGTCTGATTTAAGGCCACCCTTTGAAACTTGTCTCAGGTTCCATTTCTGTCTGTCCCATTGCAGGGCATTTCTCAGTCAGCATTTCTCATCTCCAGGTTTGCACACAGATGCACTGTGTGAGCTTTTGTCAGGCTTTGAAGATTCTCCACAACTCCATTTCCCACATTTCCCCCTTTCTCTTGAACAGAAAAGACTTCTTTGATGGCTTTGTTTATTTATTGTGTGCACAGTGAAGCACACAAAGCACTGCCACTAATATTGTCACTATAAAAATCAATGTACGTAAAATTATTTTGTAAAGTCCCTTTAGTTAAGATGTAAAACTCCATATTTTAAATGACTTGTCTAGTTATGATTTATCATCTGTTTTCATTTGATTTGTCAAACCTCTTCGTTTTTGAAGTGGTTTGTGGGTGGACTCTGAGTGGTCAGGCAGCTCCCTGGGTGAGCAATGCTCCTGTGGCTCCTGGGAGCTGAGGGGAATTCCTCAAACCATTATTGGCTGATTTTCTCATTAAACCCACGCCGTGGTTCATTAGTGCCATCTGCCCAGCAGCCTCTTTGGCCAGGATTTTTCCTCTGAGGAGCAGCACCAAGCTGTTCCTGCTGAATGAGTGGAAAGGGCTCCCAGTAATGTGCATTTTGGGGTGCAGCACCCTGGTGGTGGGAAATCAGCAGCTCAGGGAATGGGACCTGTGCTTCTGATGAGAACCTGACCTAGAGCAGAGGCTGGACTAAAGAATAAATCAGGGATTTATTAAAGGATCTCCTCCATGGATCCACCTTGGGCAGCACCAGAGCCCAGCCAGGGCTGCACCCAAATGAACCAAAATGGTCCCAAAATGAACCCAAATGAACCAAAATGGTCCCAAAATGAACCCAAATGAACCAAAATGGTCCCAAAATGAACCAAAATGAACCCAAATGAACCAAAATGGTCCCAAAATGAACCCAAATGAACCAAAATGGTCCCAAAATGAACCCAAAATGAACCCAAGATGAACCAAAATGGCCCCAAAATGAACCAAAATGGTCCCAAAATGAACCCAAAATGAACCCAAGATGAACCAAAATGGCCCCAAAATGAACCCAAATGGCCCCAAAATTAACCCAAATGAACCAAAATGGTCCCAAAATGAACCCAAATGAACCAAAATGAACCCAAATGAACCAAAATGGTCCCAAAATGAACCCAAGATGAACCAAAATGGTCCCAAAATGAACCCAAGATGACCCAAAATGGCCCCAAAATGCACGAGCGCTCCCGGGGCTCTCCCTGGGATCAGTTCTGCTCCATTGGCACCTTGGAGTTCATTCCCATTCCAGCTCCAGCCCATCAGTCCCACCCTGCTTGTTTTTCTCTCTCCAGCCCACGGTGTTTGTGCTCCTGGGCTGAGGTTTGGATCATTTGTCCTTGGTGCCCAGCTGGAGCAGGAATTGTTTTGTGTCCCTGCTCTGTGCACAGAGATCACCATCCCATCATGAGAAGCTCAGACCCACACACTAAAGCAGCTCAGAATGTGAAAAATATAAAAACTAAACCCTGAGGCCTCACTTCAGCCAGGAGGGAACAAAATTAAAAATCCCATCAAAAACCTGATGCACCTTCTCAGATGGATGCAGCTGGCACGTGGCACGTTTCTGTTCAGTGTTTTGAGGGCAGGCTTCATCATTTTTCCTAAAATTCTTTTTTTCTTAGTGGGGTGGTGAAGCATTGGAAGCAGCATTTCACTGAGGAGTTTTATCAACCCTGTTGCCACTTTCACCCCAGCAGCCTCTGGATTCTCCCAGGTGTGGAATCTCCCTTCCTAAATCCCCCTTAATCCATTTTTCCCTTTTTTTGGTGTTTTTTAGGCTCACTTGGAGGGGGTGTTGGATGAAGACACCACTGCCGAGGGACTCCACACCTTCGGCCGCTCGGCCCTTGGCACTGAATATGTTTATCTCCATCTGTCACTCCCCGTAAGTACCAGCAAAAAAAATCAATTTATTGCACTCTCCTGCACAAATATTTCCTTTTGTTCAACAGCAAATAGCTGCCCTATTTGAAAAATAAAATGGCCAATGTGAAAAAAATGTCAAGAGGTAAATTTTTGTCGTTGCCTCTTCCATGGGCAGGGTTTTTGATAAGACTCAGTGGCTCCTGCTGACTGTCAGAGTGAAGGGGTGGGTTTTTTTTTATCAGCACTGAGATTTTTGATTTTTAATTATTTTTATTACTTTTTCCTTATCCAGGCCTCAGGTGTGAAAAATATGTCTTCCTCCTTGAGTCAGCTGGAGGAAAAAAAAAATGTGTAAAACACCCAGAAATGCTGAATTCAGGAGGTTGAAGTGGTTGTGTCTTTTCAAAGCTCTCTGCTGTCCCTCCCTTTTTTTCCCCTGGTGTTTTTCCTGACTGCAGCTCTCTTTTTGTTGTTCCAAAATTATTTATTTTTTTTTTGGCATTTTCTCCATTTCTGGCTGCTCCACCATCACTTTCTGTAGATGTCACCTCGTCCTGCTGCAGCTGGAGGGACCTTGGGGCACCTTTCCCCAGCTGAGCTGAGTTATTAACCAATTATCAAAATTATAATTACAATCCCCTTCCTTTCCTTTTTGCAGGGTCGTGGGTTGAGGGACATCAGCATTCTCTCTGGCTACATCCACCTGCAGAAAATGGAGCTTTCCTCCAATAAAATTAATGGTATGGAGTAAATAAACTACAAATTCCTGCCTTGTGAAGCACTTTCAGATGAGAAATGCACTGGACCACGGAATTTTAGTGTGCCAAAGGCTGGCTGACATTTTAGTGGTGTCAAACCTCGCCCAAAATGTTTGATTTCCTCCAAAATGCCCCAAATTCCACGGCCCATTAAGACCCGCAGATGTTTATCGGTGAGGAGGTGGAGTTTAAACCTCACTTTGTTCCCCGGAGAGAAAATCCCAGCAGAAATGTCAAGGTGAAGCTGCGGATTCTGCAGGCAGCGCAATATTCCAGTTCCGCTTTGCTTTGGTTTTCCCCTTGTCAGGGTTTTCCACGGGTGACAAAAGGTAAAAAAAAAAAAAAAAAAAATT